TTTTTTTTTTTTTTTTTTTTTTTTTTTTTTTTTTTTTTTTTTTTTTTTTTTTTTGACAATTTTGTAATTTTATGGTTCCTCTTTAACCTAAATTAGTGATCTCTTGTTTGACAAAGTTGGTAATGGGTGTAGCGTTGACAAATCTATACCATTTGTTCTTATTTCTTCGGTTATAGGGAGAGTGACTGCAGAAAGTGTCATTTTTAGCTTTGGAACCGTCCTTTTGGATCTACTAAGTGGGAAGCACATCCCTCCTAGTCATGTAAGTGTTGCATTTGGATTTAGGATAAACTTTAGGATCATATCTTGAGTTTAATATGTATAATGGCATGTGCAGGCACTCGATATGATACGAGGCAAAAATATTCTTCTCTTAATGGATTCACATTTGGAGGGTAAGTTTTCAACTGCAGAGGCAACTGTGGTTTTTGATCTTGCTTCACAATGTTTACAATATGAGCCTCGAGATCGACCAAATACGAAGGGTCTTGTTGCAGCCCTTGCCCCGTTACAGAATAAGCTGGATGTAAGCAACCTTGATATTAGCTTGCATTGATATGAACTGGTCCATTACTTAAAAAGACCACTAAAAATCCAATGCTTTGTAGTGAGTTCAAGCTATAGTCGTATTAATCAAGGTGCTACTATGTTTCTTTATCAACTTCTTAGCTAGAATGTTGGTTTGGTGAGTGTTCGTTTATGCCCTCCCTCTTTGGTTTTACGGCCTTATTCTCCTTTCATGTACTCCTACATTGACCCGTGGCCAGTTAGAAACCACGTCTCTCCATAATGGTATGATATTGTCCACTTTGAGGATAAACTCTCATGACTTTGCTTTTGGTTTCCCCAAAAGGCCTCATACCAATGACGATGTATTCCTTGCTTATAAACCCATGATCAATCCTTTAATTAGTCGATGTGGGACTCCTCTACCAATAATCCTCCCATCGAACAAAGTACACCATAGAGCCTACCCTGACACCTATGGAACCCTCGAATAGTCTTCCCAAATCGAGGCTCAACTCCTTCTCTGGAGCCCTTGAACAAAATACACCATTTGTTCGACACTCGAGTCATTTTTTACTACACTTTTGAGGCTCACAACTTCTTTGTTCGACATTTGAGGATTTTATTGACATAGTTAAGTTAAGGGTACGACTATGATGCCATGTTAGGAACCACGACTCTCCATAATGGTATGATATTATCCACTTTGGGCATAAACTCTCGTGGTTTTGCTTTTAGTTTCCCCAAATGGCCTCATACCATACTTATAACCCCATATCAACCCTTTAATTAACTGATGTTCGACTCCTCTCCCAACAATCCCCAACATGGCCTAACCTGAAATGACATGTCCTGGAATTGCAGGTTCCATCTTTTGTGATGCTAGGAATTCCAAAGCACGAGGAAGCTCCTCCAACTCCACAACATCCTCTCACTCCAATGGGCGATGCTTGTTCCAGAATGGATCTCACTGCTATCCATCAGATATTGGTAATGTCACACTACAAAGATGATGAAGGATCAAATGAGGTTAAACCATTGTCCCCTCTTTATAAATGTTCCTATTTGCTGTATGGTGTGTTAAATTTCTAGAACTCTTTTCCAGTTGTCTTTCCAAGAATGGACTCAACAAATGAGAGACATGTTGGAGGCTAGGAAGCGAGGGGACTTGGCATTTCATGACAAAGATTTTAAAACAGCTATTGACTGTTATTCTCAGGTATGCATTTTACTTGACTGATTATCTCACATCGGTTCGAGAGGGGAACGAATGATTCATTATAAGGGTGTAGAAACCTCCGCCTAATAGACGTGTTTTAAAACCTTGAGGGAAGTCTAGAGGGAAAAGTCCAAAGAGGACAATATACGCCGGTGGTGTGCTGGTGGTGGGCTTAGGCTGTTACAGATTTCCTCTCTTATCACTTTTGTTTAGGACAGATCATCAGCTGGTTTGAGTAGTTGATCTCGGCTGCGTGTTGTGTATGGTATAGGACTAGCATGCTTCTGTTGGGAATCACGGATCTCCACGGTGGTATGATATTGTCCACTTTGAGAATAAGCTCTCATGACTTTGCTTTGGGCTTCCCCAGAAGGCCTCGTACCAATGGAGATGTATTCTTTAGTTATAAACCCACGATCATTCCCTAAATTAGGCCAATGTGGGACTCCCTCCCAACAATCCTCAACAGCTTCGACGTGTCGCTACGTCGATTACTGAATTTATTCTCCCTCATAAGTATCATGACGAACAATATGCTTTCAATCTGCAGTTCATAGATGTTGGCACCATGGTTTCTCCCACTGTTTACGCACGAAGAAGTCTGTGTTATCTTCTTTCCGACCAACCAGATGCTGCTCTTCGAGATGCCATGCAAGCGCAATGTGTTTATCCCGATTGGTCCACGTCATTTTACATGCAGGCTGTTGCACTAGCCAAGCTAGATATGCACAAGGACGCAGCTGACATGTTGAACGAGGCTGCTGCATTGGAAGAGAAAAGGCAAAAAGGTGGACGGGGATCTTGAGAACCAACCCCTGTAAGTGCCCTTCCTGCATTGTTCCTAGTTGTTCATTTGTTGTTCATAGTTTTGAAACAGGAACATAAAACGGAAATTTACTAAATCTAGTCATGAAATCGAACTGTAACATAGTGAGGAACTTGTGTCTTCTTCGTAATTGTGTTTTTTTCACCTTGAAAATTGGGAAATAATTTATTGGTTCTATCCATGTATAAGCTTAATACAACATATTTAGATTCTTGAGTGAGCTAATTGTGTCACTACTTTTGTTATTATCTATGAGATCTAACATCAATTGGAGAGAGGAACGAGTGTCAACGAGGAGAACGAATCATTCTTTATAAGAGTGTGAAAACCTCTCCTTAGTGGACGCGTTTTAAAAACCCTGAAGAAAACTCTGGGATGGAAAACCTAAATAGAATAATATCTACTAGCAGTGAGTGTGAGCCATTAAGGCAACTTAAGCTTAGTCAATAAAAAAGGAAAATCTAAACCACTTATTGACTTGTATATACATTCTCTTGCATATATTACATTCTTGTTAGTGATTGAAAACTTTGGTCTTCTGCTCAACCGTGTCGATTTGATCAAGTGAAGTTCATCCCTCGAGCAACTTTGTTTTCTTTGTAGTAGGGAGATTGTTTTGCCTGTTCGTGCTATTATTATACTTTTTTTTCATAGTTTCTTTCAAGCAAAATGTGTTTTCGGAATTTTGTTTTTGCGTTTCTATGTTCGAATTGTGCTTGTTTGCTTAATCGAGATTAGTCAGCTAACAAAGTTATTATGCTAAACCCAAGTTTAAATTGTGTTTTTAACTCCAACACCATTGTCTATCAATACTAAGGAGATTGAATAGAAATCAATATCTTCTATGTTCCACCCTTTCACTCATGTCAATTCATAAATTCTTTGTTGTTGTTTATCAGTTCTAAAGAATCCTATGATACACATAATTCAAAGAGAAGTGAAAAAAACTAGTGCTCATAGATGATAAGGAAGAGTTTTGCACTCAAAATTTGGACATGCAAAGAGAAGTACAAAAACTAATGTATAATATCTAACATCAGAAGACCATATTATAACACAATTCTAAATGCACACAAATAGCTTATTAAACTCAACAATATATAGTCTAATATAATTTTCATTTTCATGTAAGCAAATGGGTACTTATTTGCAATTCTCGTGCACATAAGTAAAGAGTGGTCTTCTTTTCTAGTGGATGTCGAATTTGTTGCCCCCTTTTGACTAAGAAGAGGGTGGGCGCAAGAGCTACATTGCTCATGGGGATTATGCCATCATATTGTGATTTTATTTGTGGTAACTACTCATCTTTGTGCATGAAAATTGACCGACTTTAAGCATATTTAGGTCCTTTGATTTTGTGATTTTGTGATATTTTGTAGTGAATTTATGCACGACTAACCCTGACACAAGTTACTTATGCAAACTTGTACTATTTATGGATCTTATTACTTTTCTACTTCAATTTTCTAGAAATGGTTGAGTTTACGACTCATATTTTTCTTCCTCTTGTAAACAGGCATGCATATGAAAACGAGCCTGACTCAATTTAGGGTTTGAGAAAGTCGGGTTGCTATATTAATTTAATTTTAAATCTAAATTATTTTTACAAATCATTATGTAATTTTAGATCATGTAGATTGTTTATCTAATTTAAAACCATGAGTTATTGTTCAAAATTAGTAACATATCATTTTTCCAACACAAAAAACATGTTTGCAGATCATCATAACCAAAAGTAAATTTGTTGAAACAAATTTAGGAGCAACTTTTGTAAAACAAAATCTTAACTCACTTGTTCGTATGGTTTTCCTCCCAGAAATTGTGCCTTTTCCAAGCTGAGACCTGAAATTTTCTCTCAACCCAAACACTATTTAAAACAGTACTCTATTCATTTACCCAAAGCCTTCCATCATTTTAGAACATTACATCAAAACAAAACACCATTTCCAAGCAAAGTAAGCATATCTCCATTTTCATTTCCTTACATTCATCATTTACACATTCCCTAGCAGTTGCAACCCTCAGCAAAATCCACAGACTATAATAATATGTTACTATCAAAACAGGAAAGCCATGAAGAAGAAGAAGAAGAAGAAGAAGAAGAAGATGAGCCAAACTCCTAAACAACTCACCCATATCTCATTCCATTTTTCAAATAATCTGCTTTCCTGCTCATTACAGATCCCAATAGAACAAATTTAGGACCAAATCTAACTTTTGTGAACATAATTTGGGACATTTGGAAACAACATATAAAACTTTAGTATGTCTCTGCACTGTTGTTACCTTTTCACATCGACAATGGAAGAAGCATCCTTCTTTTCTTCTTCCTAGCCAATCTCACTTGCTTGGTAACTTTCATGCATATAAGTAACAGCATCGTAATGCACACTAAAATAGAAGCCAATTGCATATGTCGAAAATATAAAGACACTGCCGAAAAGACCAAGAACGCTAGAATAATGAGTTCCCATATTACAAAAATGACAACATCCACCCTGCATAAACAAATAGACGAACCAAAATGCATATCATCAGAAATGACAAATCGTGCGTACATAATAAACCACAATTAGGATCTAATTCATGTTCGTTTAACAGGAGAGTGAATCCCAACATAACGTACATAAACCGAACAATACAAAAGTTGTAATGGACACTCACACAGACCACCCTGTGGATATCTATTTGAATAGATCGTACATAAGATGAAAAGATACATCAGTTGGTATGAGTGAAAATTCTTCTTAATCAATCACCAACTAACTCAAAGAAAAACTGCAAACTAAGTCCAATTTTATGCACTGACATAACATTTTCTTTACGAACTTAGATAAAATATATCAAGATTTTTATGGTGTTGGATTAACAATGTCCAAAGAAAATACCAAGAGTTTGTCTACAAATTTTCGCTAGACAAATTAACAATAATGTACAAGAAAACGTATATCCAAGATCATGAAATTTGAAACTTAGAACTTTACTCCCGAGAGATAGATAATTGGATGCTAAAACTAAGATACAATAGATTTCTTTTTAGGAACCAGAAATCCTAATAGAAGAATCTGAGAATTTTGGCCCAATTTTCAACATTCCTTCATCATGAACAACGCAATTAGCAATCAATGCAAGATATAAAGACAGAGCTCTGTCAAAAGAAACTCATAGTCATAATTTTAATTATTTCGGAAGTCAGGAGTATCTGTCAATATCCAGTTACATAACATGAACTTCTGATTTGATGCTAAGCTAGGAGTACAAGAAATTTACAGGCTATGGCTGAAGGCACTCATGACCAAGCTCACGAAAAATTAATTACTTGCATAAAGGAACTTCAATTGAACAATTACCATAGCACATCGTTGGACAAAGCAATTATCTTGACATCCAGAGGATGACATGATGCATCTTGTGATGAAATTTATCTACGAGAGTCCCATTTCAAGTACCGAATTCCACATGAACACTATTATTCCCTAAAATTACTGCCCAGAACAAACGAAACCAACATTTCCAAAACGATCTTACAAAATTCCAAAGCTTATCGAGAGAAGAAACCACCATAAATTCATACAAAATAAAAGAAATTGGGGACAGAATTTGCCAACGTCTGCAATGATCCCAAATCCCATCATGAATTCAGCGTTTAAAGAACAAAACCCTATTTCATCGAACATAACCAGCCCAATTCAAAGCAAAACAAAACCAACGCCATAAATTCAGAATCCCAAGAATCAAAATCTCAGAATCAGAAACGTAGGTATAAAAGAAAGAATTACGAATCTGGGAGACGAGGAAATCGAAAGCAGAAACGAAAGGGGGGGGGGGGGGGT